TCTTGTACAGTAAAGGTAATTTGCATAATCCTTAAGCTTTATTTCAAATCCCCCATGTCTTTATGTCACTCTTAAGACATGCCAGATGTTTTCCAAGGTTTAATTCTCAATTATCAGTGTCTTTTTACATCACCGTTGTTTGTGGACAAGTGAACAATGCATTAAATGCCTTAACTCAAAAATAGCACTGTGCGTGTCTATTAAAGCCTTTGTTAATGGCTGTTTTATTTGGCAAAAGATTGAAACAACTGGAGCATTTGAACATGCAGGGCTAATGTTAGGCAGAAAAACACACATATATATGCTACAAATGCAGCTTCGGTTTTCACAAATATTCAGTAACTTTTACAATTAATCTTTTAGTCCGTAAGCTACTTGCTCCCTTGCCACAGCAAGTATTTCCACATGTTTGATTTGGCTCCTGTTCCTTTCCTAATGCATCCCCAAAGGGAATTTGTGTCTCTGACTTGGCAAACAAAAGGTCACATTTGCTTGCCAAGCAAATGTGTTAACCACTACACCACTTAGTCTGTAAATATCCACAAGTTTATACCCATTATGATAACTACTTTTTTTGTTGTTCTGTATCACCCAGATATGGTCAGTCACTCTCTCATGTATTTCCTTGCTATGAATTTCAGTCTCTTCTGCACTTGAAAGGCCCATTCAGGGGGGCTGTGGTGCTTCAAAAGACCTTCATCTTCTTTTCCACATCAGTCATTTTAAAAGAGTAATGAAGTGGACCACTGGACAGCAACCAAGCTGGTCAGCAGATGGAATACGACCATTTTCTTTCCAGTATAATGATGAATTCACACTTCAAGAGAAGAAAGGATGGATAACAAGAATATCTCACACTATAATGAGAATGTGGCTATACGCAGAACAATGTGTGCAGAAATAAAGGATCCATGAGCTACATGGAGAGATTCCAACACATTCTCACAGTCACCTGCATTTTTGGCACCATTACAGAGCGGTGGCCAGGGTAAAATATCTGTCTTTAAATTATTTGGAAACCAAAACTGAGTGTACCTCATTGCTTCTTCAAGATGTATATCGCTAGCTGCCTCTGTGCAGGGACTGGAGATGAAATTTACCTTTCGGCTATGGTACATTAAAGTATTATGCTTTATCCCTGTTAAATTCAGAAATAAATGACCATCTCCCAATCGAAATCATAAAATTGCTCAGCAGGCCCTGCAGCTCAAAAACTGAAGGTCTGTATTTTAAGTTCAAGATCAAATCTGTGATCCTCCCTCTGAGTAAAGTATAGTGACGTTCGCTGGCATGTTATTTGTTTTATGTCTATACCAGTTTGGAAAGGATTTTTCATCCTTTTGTCACGAGATTATCTCGTATGGGACATTTGGATCACAGATAATCTTGCTTATGATTGTTGTGAGAGAGAATCAGGATGCATTTATGTGCAGTTATGTGCTGCCAGTGATGAGTCATGTGGATTATTTTACCCCACCCATTCTGTCATGGTTATTTATCTGTAAATACTTTTAGGGAGGAAAGCAATACAGCAAATTCCCAAAGAATATATCAATCAGTTTCCAAAAAAAAGAAGAAAAAAAAGACTGTGACGCTGTGAATAAAATCACAATGCAATGATCTACAAATCATTTGTAGATCATTGCATATATACAGGCAGGGATAGCTCAGTAGGTAGAGTGGCGGCCCCATGATCGGAAGGTCGGGGGTTCGATTCCCCTGAACAGCTACCCTGAGGTACCCCTGAGCAAGGTACCGTCCCCACACACTGCTCCCCGGGCGCCCAATGGCTGCCCACTGCTTCACTGAGTGAATGGGTTAAATGCAGAGAGGGATTTTCCCCACGGGGACCAATAAAAACCTTCTTCTTCTATATATATATATGTTTTGTTTTGTTTTTTGCTCCAAGTCGTCTTTTAACAGCAAAAATGTTTGGGGACTGTGGAGAGCAATTACTGTAGATTTGAAAGCCAAATGTTTTCCCATGCTTGATATAGGATTTCAGCTGCTCAACCGTCCAGTGCCTCCTTTGACATATTTTCCATTTCATAGTGTGCCAAATGTTCTCTGCTTCCTGCAGGCAGATTAGTTACAGCACCCGGACTGTTTCGCTGTTGAGTCATGCTGTTGTAATACATGCAGAATGTTGTATTGGTATTTTGCTGTTCAAAAAGACAAGGACTTCTCGGAAAAAGGAAGGCAGCCCATGTTGCTCCAAAATCTGTATATTATGCAGCATTTATGGTGCCTTCACAGATGTACAAGTTATCAGGCAGTGTGTACTAGTACAGTGGCTGTGGCGGTTCGCCTAAACTGCCCCCTTGTCACAGTAAATGCTACAAATTTTAGACAGCGGTTTGCAAAGCTGTCTGTGTGAAGGACCAAAGAAGTACAACCAGGCTGGTCCTGCTTCCCTTTACCCCACACAATGTTAGTGCAATGATTTTTTTTAAAAAAAGATTTTGATTCACTAGACCACAGAGCAGTTTAACTTGGACTGTTTTCTGGATCTTTATATACTATATATTTATATCCTCAGTAACATTTTAATTTGCATTTATGGCACAAAAACAAACTTTTTTAATTAGCAGTGTTTTTCATGTTCCTGACACCTTAGACAAATTTTCCACCACGGATTTGTGAACTGTAGATTGTGCAGATTTTGCACATACTCGTGTGTGTGTGTGTGTGTGTGTTTATGTGTGTGTGTGTATGCTGAAAATTAGTATTACACCGCCAAACTATCTTCCATGAATTGATGAAAGTAAATGCCTAATTAGTTGGGAGATGTTACACTAGGTGTATTTTAGCTATACAAATAATACAATGAATAACTTAGTAACTTAGTAGAATTGATAGCAAATGGAAGACAAATCGTGGCGATCGTGGCTCAAGAGTTGGAAGTTCACCTTGTAATCGGAAGGTTGCCGGTTCGAGCCCCGGCTTGGACAGTCTCGGTCGTTGTCTCCTTGGGCAAGACACTTCACCCGTTGTCTACTGGTGGTCAGAGGGCCCGGTGGCACCAGTGTCCGGCAGCCTCGCCTCTGTCAGTGCGCCCCAGGGTGGCTGTGGCTACAATGAAGCTGCTATCACCAGTGTGTGAATGTGTGGATGACTGGATATGTAAAGCGCTTTGGGATCCTTAGGGACTAGTAAAGAGCTATATAAATACAGGCCATTTATTTTTACCATTTACAAACCACACTCTTCTGGATGACAGTCCAGTGCTTTCATCCGCAACATTTATTCATCCACCTCAACCCTATACCACTTCTATTGTTTGACTTTTCCTAACTTCCTAAAGCTTTCTGCCAACCTGAAAATGCTTTTTGGCAAAAGGCAAACTTCTGCCTCTGGCCTGTAGAAGGCTGCTTTTCAGCAAAAAAAAAAAAAAAAAGCTTTGATATTCCAGTAAACAATACTTGGCACCAGTTACACTTTATATATTTGGCTACAGAGCTTTTGAACATAGTGAAGCATTTTGGGCAGTAAAGCTGTGTTTTTCCTTCAGGGTGTGGTTAAAAAAAAGCAGAACAAAAAAACAGTGGCTGCAGGAATTTGATTCATCAGTTTGATACAAATACAGCTGCAAATAACAACTGTGGTGTAAATACTGGATGTGAAAATAGGAAACTACTAAGTTAACCACATAAGCTTAGGAGTAAAGCGTAAACCAGTCAATAATTAAACCTCTGGGGTCGACGGACCCAAATCACATGATCAATTTAAGATGGCATAGCAGCAAGATGTAGTCTCCCTGAGAATCCATTTCAGCTTGTGTTAAAAGTGCTTCCAACTATATACCAATTTTTAAATTGTATTGATAGGCCATGATATTTTTTCCTGTCTGCTGGAAGAAAAAACTGGGTAAAAACTGCATTTTTTCAAGTCCTGCAAGCACTTAAAAATACATGAAAAAACATTCCTTTCCTATTGGTGGACAAATGTACCATGTTGAGCAATCCAAATATTAGATAGCAACATGTGACATTTGGTTATTTAGGAAGAGGGGGAAGTTTTAGGAGTGATAGCAGTGAGAGTGAGAGAAAAAGAAAGTGAGTTTTGAGATTTGAGAGATTTGTGATGTTTAGTGTTTTGTCTTGTTTATAGTTAAGTCGTCTGTTTTGTTTTGTTTGTCAAAACAACAAGGCGATGGCTGAATGTCACAGTTGCTAAAAAGCCACCAAAGGCAGATTGCAATGTAGATTTTGACTCCAGGTGGGAAACAGGAGGAGTGATACACCTCCTGCTGTCAGGCCTGGAGGTACCAGGCTTGTGATGTGCTCCTCTGTCTTATAATGGACAGAAACTATTTTTTGGAGTGGCAAAAATAATTTGTGTGGCATCCTATTTGATGGACACCTGATTATTATGTAAATAGTTTTAAATGTTTATTAAAAAATTTTAAAAAAACTAAAAAACATATGTGTGTGTGTTTTTTTATTATATATTAATTTTAGAATTAATTAATATATTATAACCTATATATATATATATTATATAATATAATATATATATATATTAGTATAATAATATATATATAAAAATTTACAATTTATATTTGCATTCACATCTGATTTTAGATTAATTGTGTTAATACAGTATGTCAAAATGTAAACCCTTTAAATTCAGACATGTGGTACCATTGCTGAAAAGAATGATACCAAACAAGGCAAGGTAAAATATAGAGGTATAATCAAAAGTAGTCAACAACAGCCAATTATACTCTGGACCCCGGAGGGTTAAACAAACAGCTGGTCCAAGCTTTAAAACTGTACAGCATAATTCTTAGGGATATTGAGCTATTAGAAATTCATTTAAATTTCTTTATAGGTGTAAAGGCTTCTGCATTGAGTAATCTTGAAAGAACATAAGTCAGAATATTTTCGATTCAGTAGATCAAAAATCGCTGTGAAATTCTTGAATGTAAGACTGTGTATCATTCATTGGATCCCAAAAAGAAAACAAACGTGTCCCCTCTGCTCTGAATTTTCTCACAGTCCGTCCTTTGATGAGGAACCTTCCCCTCGGCCAAAGAGGAAGAAGAAGAAGAGGAAGTCTGAGCGGAAGAGGAAGAGGAAAAGGTCAGTTTCCAAAATTAGATGACACTGCAGTGTGATGTGTGTTGGTGTGGAAATAAATAAACCAAGGTTTGTGCAGAGGAATGCTTTAAATTCATATTTATTTTAAATTTTTTTCCTTATTTAGGTCTCCTTCTTACAGCCTGTCACCACCGAGGAAGAAGAAAAAGAAGAAGAAGAAGAGCTCCAAGAAAAGCAAGCGGCACAGGTAAGTACAGTAAATGTTAAAACAATATACAAAAACAGTTGCACGAGTTTTATATTTATGACTTAAATCATCTTGTTTCCCTTTTCAGGTATACCTCCAAGAAGTCAAAACACAGGTACATATATGATTTTTTCTTCTATAACCTCTGCATGTCTGCTTGCACTGTGCACATCTCATTTCTAAAAGAAAGACTTTAAAGGCAAACAGTTCATAACAGGATGAGTTCCTGTGTAACAGTTGGTGCCTGCTTTCAGCAAGATTACTGGATTTCCACCTGAAATGCAATTCTCTTTTAGTATCAGCAAGTAGGCAAGCTGTCTGTGCAGGCTTCGTCAGTATCAATACCGCTCTCTCATGATATTATTCTCTTTCATCCTAACAGCTCTTCAAGTTTAAAACATAAGAGGAAGGATGAACGCAAGCACAAGAAAAGGTCAGTGTGTGACTGTTGCATCAGAATGTACTCTCCAGGTCCTACACTATTTTTTCCCCCTCACAACCTCCTCTTCTTCCAGCAACGGTAGTCCATCCAGTATTTTCAGAATACCCACTGTCGAGGAGGAAAAAGAGAGGATACTGCAAAATGCTATCCTGTAAGGGCAAGATAGGTGAATACAGAAACGTACCGCTTTTATATTTCTTGAGCTAAGCGTGAAAGAACCTTTGCAAACAGAAAAACTGATTGAACACTTGAGCCACAAAGAGAGAAAAATGGGTGAAAGAGGGTAAGAGAAACCAATTTCATGCTGTGATCTTGCAACATTTTATAATTTGACTTTGGATGAGCGCATTGTTGTTTGTAAGCACAGAGCCATGTTCGGTAGCTGCTGACTTGAACGGAAACCATTGCTTTCCAGCTGACTACAACTCTTTATTCTCTTTTCTTTTATTCAGATCACTTCACTCGTTCATGACTTTGTCATTCTGTTATACTCTTCCCTTCACTAATGTGACCTGTCACTCAGAGTAGCCAATAAAGAAACATAAGGTGATGATGTGACATATGCAATTTTGACGTTAAATAAATAAAAGCTGGCCTGTTTATTAGGCACTCCCATTCAACTGCACGTTAACACAAATATTTAATAAGCCAATCACATGGCAGCACCTCACTAATGCCTGTATTTGACCTTTCTTCCTGATTCTGATCCTGACCTCAGAATTTGGGAGAAAGGTGACTTAAGGCAGCGGTCCCCAACCTTTTTTGCGCCACGGACCGGTTTATGTCTGACAATATTTTCACGGACCAGCCTTTAAGTTGCCGTGGATAAATACTACAAAATAAAACCAGTATCAGTACCAAAAAAAAGAAGATTTATTCATAACACACAGGAAAAGACCCAGGGAAAACAAGTTAACGATAAAAACGATTAAAGAAAGTAACGATAAAAACTGATTAAAAACTCTGAAAACCATAAATTTCACACTCGAGCCTCAACTCTCACAGTCCGGTACCAAATGGCTCATGGAGCTATAAACGGCCTGGGGGTTGGGGGCCACTGACTTAAGAGACTTTGGTGGGGATGGGTATCGTTTAGGTTTTAGCCGATACCGGTGCCAAACCGGTACTTTTGAAATGGTGCCGGTGCTTAAACGGTGCTCAAACCAGTGCCTAAAGAATGGAGAACACAAAATTGGTCCTAAAACCTCTCATGTTCAGCTGTTTTTTTTTGTAAAAAGATAACAATGTTAGCTTTTTCTGCAGCTATAGGGCATATATGGTATCACTCTTGGCTGGAAGCAGTGCTTAAACAATGGAAAAAACACAAACTTTGTCCAAAAACCTCTCATGTTCAGCTGGGTTTTTTTGTAAAAAGATAACAATGATAGCTTTTTCTGCAGCTATAGGGCATATATGGTATCACTCTTGGCTGGAAGCAGTGCTTAAACAATGGAAAAAACACAAACTTTGTCCAAAAACCTCTCATGTTTAACTGTTTTCCACTTTTTCTTTGGTCATTTTAGCCTTTTTGGCCAGGGTGAAGGGAGTATCTGCCATCAAACAAGAAGACAGCCGCATGTAGCTACGACGGTGTTTGCTAGTTCACCTTACGTGCATTAATTTAATAACGTGGTTAGCCTACTCAACGTAAATTACACACGAACAACATTAAGCTACTCACGCAGAGAAGAACGGCTGCTGCTGCCATCATCATCCATCATCATTTCTGCTACACAGGTGTTACCTCCTTTGCGCAGTATCACAGTATCAGCTTAAAGCACTTGTTGCAGGCTGCTGAGTTTACATATTTTGCTGTGAAGTACAGCCAGACTTTTGACCACTTTGCTTTGGGCATTTTTAATCTGTAGCTCTGCTCTAAAAGAACGTACGTATCTGGACCCGCCTACTATCCTCGGAAACGTAAAATGATTGGCTAGAAATCAAAGTGTATCACAGCTCAGGAAAAAAAAGCACCGAAATAAAACACCGAAATGTGCGCTGTTTTTCGGTCTGGTTACTACCGTTTATGTCAGAACCGGTGCCATCATGGCACCGGATACCGGTACCTATCCCTAGACTTTGGTAGTTGGTGCCGGTCAGGCTGCTGAAATTTTCAACACCACAATCTCTAGGGTTTACAGATCCAGCTTGTCGACCTTGTTGTTGTTGTCAGGGTTCACAGGAGTAGGGCCAGACTGCTATGAGCTGATATGAGCACTACAGTAACTCAAATAACCACGTATTACAACCAAGGAATGCAGAAGAGCATCTCTGAACACACAAGACATCGAACCTCCAAGCAGACGAGCTGCAGCAACAGGATACCGCACTTGGTGTCAAATGACTCCTGTCTGCTAATAACACAAAGCTGAGGCTACATTTTGAATAAGCCCACCAAAAGTGGAACACAGAAGACTGAAAATATGTTGCCTGGTCTGATGAGTCTTGATTTCTGCGCTGATGTTCAGATGATAGGGACAGGATTTGGCATAAACCACATGAAAGCATGGATCCATCTAGCCTTGGTTCTTGGTTTCTTCCTGTTAAAACAGAGTTTTAACTTCCCACTGTCACACAGAGGTTGCTGGTATCATCTGATTGTTGAGGTGTTCTCTGTATTATTGTACAGTCTTTAGCTTACAATATGAACTACCTTGAGGCAACTGTTGTTGTGATTTGGCGATACAGTGTATGACTAAAATTTGACAGCCTTAATGTCTTCAGTGTTGTTTTAACAGTAAACAGAATAGTAAATTGAAAAGTAGTCACTCCACTGTAAACACTGACATTGATAGCTGAAAATTCAAGGTGGAGAAAGGCCACAGACTGCACATAAAATATAGATGTAGGCACCATAACAGACTGGCTTGACTACCATTTTAAAGCCTCACCTTTTTCCAAGACAGTTTTTTTTGGATGGCAAAATCAGAACTGTCTAGTCACCAGCTTTCAATTAAAGAGGAGCATTCATAATTCAGTGTGATATTAAATGAGAATCTAATTCTGTTTTGTGAACATCTTTCTCAAGACAAAACGTATGCAGGGGCCATTTTTGGTCTGTTCATCTTTAAACTTCTGGCCACCAGTAGGCTACAAGACACTTTTTTGCATTAGCACTACTCTTTTTTAAAAATGTGGGGAAAGGAGAAAAACTATAGCTGCTACCAATTAGAGATGCACAGAAATGTTTGGCTGTCCAACATAAACAATGTGAAAGCATGCAGATGTGGAGTATTGTGGTTTGAGTTTGTTTTCTTGCATTTATCCAAACTAAAGGACTACTAGTGAGGCCATTTTTGCCTCTGCTGAATTGCAGATAATTGGACAAATAGCACATGTCAATTAAATGTGTATATGGCAGTCCTCTGCTTTGTAAAAGAAGCTAAATAGCCACCACAATGAACTTACTAGAAAAACTAAAGAGATGATGTTTTAATGTATTTTAGTGCAAATGAATAGAGAACAGAACATAACATCAACCTGTCACTCCAAGTGGCGATGTACATTATATGCACATTTAAAGCAGAGACAAGAGTCAGGGGTGATTTGTGAAAGAAGGCACAAAAGGATGAAAGGGAAGGTTTACAGGATGGTAGTGAGATCATTACTACTGAGTGCCACTTACAAAAAGACAGGATGTGTAGTTGGAGGTGGCAGAACTGAAGATGTTCATATTTTCTTGAGTGACCAGGATGACCAGAAGTAGAAATCAGTATATCAGAGGGACAGCTCGGGTTGAGCGGACTGCAGACAAAGTTAGATAAGAAGGGCTGAGATGGTTTGGAACTGCACAAAGGGATCATGGATATATTGGACAGAGGACATTAAAGATGGAGTTTCCAGGCAGGAGAAAAAGAGGAAGAACACAGAGAACATTCATTGGTGTAGTAAAGGAGGACATGCAGAGGGTTGGTGTGACAGAGGAAGGTGCCAGGGTGAGGTAGGTGATCCACTGTAGCGACCGTTATGGGAGCAGCTGAAGGAAGGCAAAAGAACAAAGAACAACAATTTAAAAGTTCGATTTTTATTCTTCATCACATGTATTCGTTCATATTTATCATAAAGAGGGGGTAGACCAGGCTCTAAATATATTTATTTTGGCTGTAAATTTGTAAAGTTGTTAGGAGTCAGTGTGGATTTGTTTGCCAGTTAGCAATTCTGCGTTGCTTCATGTAATAGCAGAGGAGGCTTCTGTTTGAGAATGACATACACAGGTCATGGCAAACTGTCCTGTAGTATGAACATAAACTTTGGAAAGTGTGATTTCTGGATAACTCTCTGGCCCTCCAGGTTAGCCAGACTTTGGAAGACAAAAGAAAGGTGCCCAAAAAAGTTTTAATAAATTCGTAATCCTTTTTTTTGGTCTTACTGTAGAGGCACACATATAACAGAAATTCAAGTTTCTCTCAAAACTAAATGGTTTGCATAATGGTTTTCTTGTACTGCTGATCTTTGGAGAAGTGCAGCTATGCTATTTGCTTGCATGTTTGGCTTGATAGGTCTCATGTGTAGCTGGGACATTAGTAAAATTTGTTGTAAATCCTGTACAATGTATGTTTAATTGATGGAATAAATAATACATTTATTTATTTAGTTACAATACTAATAATAATACAATTGCAAAAACTGCCAAAGTTTCAAATAATTAAGTCAGTCTTGGTAATCCCTATGATTAAAACACTTTACTCCTCTTTTCCTGCTCTTTGAATGGTATTACAAAAAGAAAATATTCTTAATATATCACACAGCTCTGACTGTTCTTCCTGCCAATCAACGCAGAAGTCCTAACACCAGGTTGTAGAGACCTTGTGTTTGCAATGGCCCACCGATCAGATAAAATGGTTGTCTTAAAGGGAGGGGGAAGAGAGCGCAAAAAGATATGTTTTGAGCAGCTAAACCAAAGTCAAGCCCAAGAAGACAGGGATTATGTAAAGCTACTGTAGTGGAGTTTTTTGTGAAAAAAACTAATCATAATCTTAGCTTCTTCTCTACGTGTTTTTTTTCTTTCTTTGTTTTGTTTCAGTTCTCGGACTCACTCACGTCGGAGACGGCGGTATCGGAGGTCAGAGTCAGAGACTTCTTCCTGCCAATCTTCAACAGAGGACAGGTAGGCCCAGCGCCCCCACTTCCACCCCACCCCCAGCCCGCTCCCTTGGTTAATCTTATCAGTCTGAGGTGTCTGCCGAGTTCTTGGTCACATCGCAGAGATGACTGATAAGGTGGAGGTGACTTCCTCAGACTCAGGCACAACCGGGTCTTATCACAGCTGCACAGAAAATGGCTGCAAATGCACTCTAGAGATCAATACACTCAATTATAATGACATATAGCAAATTTCTGGTTGTGTGATACTATGAAAGATGTCTTTTATGGGTCATACTGGGCTGACTGCATAAAGATTTCTAAAAGCTAGAAGCATATCTGGATACTTTCTGATATAAATTAATCATTTCAGTCACTTATCACTGAGAATATATAT